ATGATCCAGTTCAACCGTACTAATAAGCACAAATGACTCTAGACAAACATTTGTGCCTTTTTTATTGCTGAAGTGTGTTGAAATTTCTTCTAAATTTACTTTCCCTTCAGCCTGAGGCTTATTCATTTCACTTTTGGTGTGAAAGGGCTTTTAAATTAGCCAAAATATATATAAATACACTCACATTCAGTATATATTTTGAAAATATTTACACGTATATACATTGATATATTTATATTCTTATATGTTATATTATATATAAATATATTTAATACATAAACATAACATATTTTTCTTTAATATATACATGCATGTGTTTGCATTTATATATACATAATAAATATACACAGTATACACACATATATTATGTAAACAAAAACTTTTATTTTGGATGCGATTAATCACGATTAATCATTTGACAGCACTAATATATATAAAAAATGGATGAATTGGTCTCTGAGTAACCATACGTTTCTTTGGCGATATGTTTTGGCGTTATTAATGTATTATTATTATTAGTTCTCTAGATCAGCATATTGGTTTGTTCAAAGATGAACATAGAAAAACAGATCGTTTTCAAGGCCTAGTGAATGAAATTTTAAAAGTTTCTGTTATGGAATCAGACTAAAACATTTCCATTTCATTTTAAGAATGAATGATACAGAAATTAATATATACTGTATATTGAACAATTGTTAGGCCACCATGTGGACATGGCAGAGAGATATGGAGCACTGCTGGTGGCCCTGGAGCACCGCTTCTATGGGCAGAGCATCAACCCCGATGGTCTAGAGACAGAGAACCTGAGAGATCTCTCCAGCCAGCAAGCGTAAGTGCTGCTGACAGGCCGTTTCTCAGATCACAATGACGATCACAGTGACATTTATGATACATGTTGTTTCATCTCTTCTATCTCAGTTTGGCCGACCTGGCTGCGTTCCATCATTATATCAGCCAGCGTTTCAGCCTCTCCCATAAGAACACCTGGATCAGCTTCGGTGGTTCCTATGCTGGAGCTCTCTCAGCTTGGTTAAGAGGAAAGGTTTGTTCCAAACAAATCTTTGTTGTTTAGCACAAAAATGTTTTCTACATCTTTAATTCAAATAAACCATTTTAGATGATCAAATCTCAACCAGCTCTGTTAACTGCACCTTAAAAAGTAAACAATGAAAGTATAAATTCTGAGTAACACTTCAAAATAAGGTCCCAGTAGTAGGTTAAGGCATTACATTTATTATAGTACTGATTAATCGTTGTTAACATTAGTCAATAAAATTAGACTACAACTGTTCATTGTTATTTCATGTTAGCTCAGGTATACCAAATAATACTGAAAGATACAACATTAGTTTTTAACAATGTGTTAGAAAATGTTAAGTTTAGAATTCTTGAATAACATGAACTATTTTCATTGTTATAGTTTTAACAAATGGAACCTTCTTGTAAAAGTGCTACCAAATTCTGTCATCGTTTATTCTTTCCTGTATCACCAAAGACTGCTTCAGTGAACATATAAATAACATATCTTTCAAATTTTCTTTCTCTCCTAGTTTCCTCATCTTATCTATGGAGCAGTGGCATCCTCTGCCCCTGTTCAAGCTCAATTGGACTTTAGCTCTTATAATAGGGTATGGGTTTGTAAAAACACATGTGGGAGATATTTGATCAATTAGAGCACATTATTATTGCATTACTTGTATACAGGTGCATCTCAATAAATTAGAATGTCGTGGAAAAGTTTGTTTATTTCAGTAATTCAACTCAAATTGTGAAACTCGTGTATTAAATAAATTCAATGCACACAGACTGAAGTAGTTTAAGTCTTTGGTTCTTTTAATTGTGATGATTTTGGCTCACATTTAACAAAAACCCACCAATTCACTATCTCAACAAATTAGAATACTTCATAAGACCAATAAAAAACATTTTTAATGAATATTTGGCCTTCTGGAAAGTATGTTCATTTACTGTACATGTACTCAATACTTGGTAGGGGCTCCTTTTGCTTTAATTACTGCCTCAATTCGGCGTGGCGTGGAGGTGATCAGTTTGTGGCACTGCTGAGGTGGTATGGAAGCCCAGGTTTCTTTGACAGTGGCCTTCAGCTCATCTGCATTTTTTGGTCTCTTGTTTCTCATTTTTCTCTTGACAATACCCCATAGATTCTCTATGGGGTTCAGGTCTGGTGAGTTTGCTGGCCAGTCAAGCACACCAACACCATGGTCATTTAACCAACTTTTGGTGCTTTTGGCAGTGTGGGCAGGTGCCAAATCCTGCTGGAAAATGAAATCATCTTCAAAAAGCTGGTCAGCAGAGGGAAGCATGAAGTGCTCCAAAATTTCTTGGTAAATGGGTGCAGTGACGTTGGTTTTCAAAAAACACAGTGGACCAACACCAGCAGATGACATTGCACCCCAAATCATCACAGACTGTGGAAACTTAACACTGGACTTCAAGCAACTTGGGCTATGAGCTTCTCCACCCTTCCTCCAGACTCTAGGACCTTGGTTTCCAAATGAAATACAAAACTTGCTCTCATCTGAAAAGAGGACTTTGGACCACTTCTCCTTAGCCCAGGTAAGACGCCTCTGACGTTGTCTGTGGTTAAGGAGTGGCTTAACAAGAGGAATACGATAACTGTAGCCAAATTCCTTGACACGTCTGTGTGTGGTGGCTCTTGATGCCTTGACCCCAGCCTCAGTCCATTCCTTGTGAAGTTCACTCAAATTCTTGAATCGATTTTGCTTGACAATCCTCATAAGGCTGCGGTTCTCTCGGTTGGCTGTGCATCTTTTTCTTCCACACTTTTTCCTTCCACTCAACTTTCTGTTAACATGCTTGGATACAGCACTCTGTGAACAGCCAGCTTCTTTGGCAATGAATGTTTGTGCCTTACTCTCCTTGTGAAGGGTGTCAATGATTGTCTTCTGGACAACTGTCAGATCAGCAGTCTTCCCCTTGATTGTGTAGCCTAGTGAACCAAACTGAGAGACCATTTTGAAGGCTCAGGAAACCTTTGCAGGTGTTTTGAGTTGATTAGCATGCCACCATATTCTAATTGGTTGAGATAGTGAATTGGTGGGTTTTTGTTAAATGTGAGCCAAAATCATCACAATTAAAAGAACCAAAGACTTAAACTACTTCAGTCTGTGTGCATTGAATTTATTTAATACACGATTTTCACAATTTGAGTTGAATTACTGAAATAAATTAACTTTTCCACGACATTCTAATTTATTGAGATGCACCTGTAGTTTGATATTTATTTATTCATTTTGACAGGTGGTTGGTTGTAGTCTTATGAATGAGGCAGTGGGCGGCTCTAAAAAGGTAAGAGCACATTTAGGGTCACTATGAATTTCTCTGTGTGTGTTTGAGTGTCTATCTGTGTGTGTGTCCTCAGTGTGTAGCAGAAGTGAAAGGGGTGTTTGCAGCAGTAGAGGCAGCTCTGCTAACGGGGAATGAGGTAGAGGTGGGAAAAGACTTCGGCTGTTGTGAGACCCCTTTCAAACCAGAGGACAAGATGGAACTGTTGCAGAGTTTGGCTGATATCTTCATGGGAACCGTCCAATACAATGAGGAGGGGGTTGCATTCAGCATCGCAGAACTTTGTCACATCATGACCAATAAGAGTGAACAGAATAAACAGAAGGAGGAGGCGTATGACCGTCTGGTCAAACTAGCGGCGGTAACATTTCTTAATCTCATATTAAGTGTTGATTAGTGTTATAGTTTTATTTGGCTCAAACTTTTATGTAAAAAAAATCTAAATTTAAGCATTAATATGTATTTAAAAGTATGGTATAACAGTATTTATTACCACAGATTGATTGATTTGATAGATTATTTATTTATTTATTACTGTTTGCTATTTTAATAATATTAAGCTTGATTGACTTCTCTATCCCCTTTATTTTGTGTATTATTTCATTCAGTATATGAGTTATTTCATTGGTACACTCACCTTGAACTCACAATTACTGAAATGAATGTAATGAATTTATAACTGAACAAAGAATTGTCAAGTGGACACTGAACTCAACAATGGCCATGCTCAGAATAGCATATATGACTTGCAGTACACTATTTCTGTAGTATATAATATGCATACTGTCACTGTGTGGAATACTGTATCCCATACAGAAAATATATATAAAAAAAATAAAAAACATATTTGCTAAAATATATGTACATAAATATATTTTCTACCAATATATTATGGCCCATTTTTTGTATATCTTTGAAAATATATTTAGAAATATAGAAATATATTTTAAAAAGCAATTAGAAATATATAGTTTGACCTCTATATATTTTCTTGCCCCAGAAATACATTATTGGCATATGAAGGTTGAAACTAAATGTATTTCCTATTTCAAAAATATATTTCATTGAGCTTTATATTTAGCATATATTTCAAATATCTTTTGGCCACAATTTTTTTTCCCATATGGGATCCCACAATGCCATATGTTCAACTTAACCATCCATTTCTGGTGTGATGAATGAGCTAGAAGTAATATCAGCCGCAACATATTTTCCCTTGACTTAATTTTGATCAAACTTCCGAATGGTAAGATACGTTTTACTCAAAATGTAATTACAAATGCACAATATGGTGAATGTAAATGAGGTCATAGGCCAACAATTATCATACTAGTATTTGAAAAGTTTATCCTATAATGCTTTCAATTTCACATATTGCTTTTGAAAAATAGTAGACAGTATACACTGCATTGCACCAAGCCAGCATGCTATTAGTGTTCCATTTCGCACACAACTCGAACTGTGCAACTAAAATGAAAAGCACGATATTATATCTAACCAGCAGAGGGCATCAATGCCTATGAAAAAAAAAAAGTTGCCTGATTTAAAAAAAAAAAAATCTCCATTCAATGTTTCCTCTGGCTACAAAATACATTTTGCTCAATTGAAAAAGTCACAAACATTTTTGCCATGTACTCAGATGTATCGTGCCAGAGAGAAGGTGCCATGTCTGGATGTTTCTCATGAAAAGCTTGTGCTTGAACTCAGAAACACTACAGCTACATCCAGCTACAGACAGTGGTTCTACCAGACCTGCACTGAGTTTGGCTTCTGTGAGTACTACTAGATCTAGCCTACAGTGCTCTTTTTGATCATTCTCTAATTTCTGGGTTTCAATGGGTACACAGCAGCTCCAGGAGTATCTACACACTTCTGTCTGAAAGTCATTACATTAGAAAACCCTAAATAATTCAACCAAGTGGCATCTGCAAACAAACATTTTCTCAGAACTAACCTTATCTTCTTTCTGTTTTGCATTGACTTTTAACAAACTGGCATCAAGGAGATTTTTATTTAGCCTGCTACATGCATGTTTTGCGAATTATTAAGTCAGTTCCCTCAAGTTCACATAGGTGGAGTATCACTGGTGTAGTTTATATGTTCTGTGGACATGTTTGGCTAATGTTTGTATCACACTACTATTTGTCTTTATCTTGAACAGTATATCTATTGTTGCATGAATTAAAACCAAACAACATTTTTGTGAAATGACTTGCTTGATGCTATCTTTAAATGGCATTTGGCTTAGCATATGTAATGCTATGATGTTCATGAAATTGTCCAAATTCTTGTAATGTCTGTGTATTTAAGCTAATTGAATAATCTTTTACAAGTGTTTTCCAAATTCAGTTTACATGATGTCTATAGTTATTTTATAATCCAGTTTTGTACCTTTTGTGTTGGTTTATGGAGCAGATCAGACGTGTGAGGACACTAGCTGCCCCTTCTCACGTATGTCAACCATCCAGTCTCAGACTGAGCTCTGCTCTCGAATCTTTGACATCCCTCAGGAACATCTGCCTGTCCACATTGACTTTACCAACCAGTACTATGGAGGGAACCGGCCCCAAACACAAAGAGTGCTCTATGTCAATGGTAAGCACGGCATATGTAATGAAATTGTCCAAATTCTTGTAATGTCTGTGTATTTAAGCTAATTGAATAATCTTTTACAAGTGTTTTCCAAATTCAGTTTACATGATGTCTATAGTTATTTTATAATCCAGTTTTGTACCTTTTGTGTTGGTTTATGGAGCAGATCAGACGTGTGAGGACACTAGCTGCCCCTTCTCACGTATGTCAACCATCCAGTCTCAGACTGAGCTCTGCTCTCGAATCTTTGACATCCCTCAGGAACATCTGCCTGTCCACATTGACTTTACCAACCAGTACTATGGAGGGAACCGGCCCCAAACACAAAGAGTGCTCTATGTCAATGGTAAGCACACTCTTAAAAATAAAGGTGCTTCACGATGCCATAGAAGAACCTTTTTGTCTAAATGGTTCCATAAAGAACCTTTAACATCTGAAGAACCTTTCTGTTTCACAAAAGGTTCTTTGTGGCGAAAGAAGGTTCTTCAGATTATAAAAAGGTAAGAAAGAGATGGTTCTTTAAAGAACCTTTGACTGAATGGTTCTTTGTGGAACCAAAAATGGTTCTTCTATGGCATCGCTTGAAGAACCTTTTGAAGCACCTTTATTTTTAAGAGTGGAGTTTGGCTTTCATGTGGGCTTTTACAATTACTAACTGTTAATACGTTTATTAAAAATAGGACGATCTGTTAAAAAAATCTAAGCAAACCAAAATGGAAGATGATTAAAAAAAAGAAAACATCAAAACTATTATTAAAAAATTATAATTAGTGTGTAAACAGCTGTTTTTTTTATTTATATACTTTCAACTTAGATTTATGCTTAAATATTTAAAAATAAAAGTTATATTTGAGTTCATTCAAATTTTCATAGATGTAATGACAGTTGCTGGCTGTTCAGAGTATACTGAACATTGCCATACAGCAAAAAAAAAAACAAACATATATTTTCAAATATATTTTTAAATATATTTCAAAAATGGCCAAAAATATATATTTGTTAAAATATATATATATTTTTTAAAATTATGTACAGATATTTTCTACCTATATATTTTTTGGCCATTTTTTGTATATTTTTGAAAATATATTTTAAATATATAAATATATATTTTAAAAGCATTACATTTTTTTTTTGGCATATGTAGCGTGTTATTCATTAAGACATGTTTCTCTGACCAAGGAAACATTGACCCATGGACAGAGCTAAGCGTGGTCTGGAATGACACTATGGTGGACAATGACAGAGTCGTTCTTATCGATGGCACCGCCCACTGTATGGACATGAACTCAGATAAATCAATGGATAAACCTGCATTGCACCAAGCCAGGAAGGTAAAAATCTAAATGTGAAAAAAATAGATTATATAGAATAATTAATCATTTCTGTTTCATTTTTAAATTTTTTTAAAAGGGAGAAATTCCTTTTTTTTCTTACAGTTCTCATGTTCTTACCCCCATAGGAGATTGGAAGACGTGTGGCCATGTGGCTCAAAAGTGCAGCATTGGCACCATAAGATTTGATCAGCATGTCTTTTTGATAATCACGTGACCGAAGCATGCCAACTGAGTTTACTTTTTTCCTTTAATTTGCAAAAATTACAAAAAAAATTGAGTGCTTGAAATTTCTTCTGCATCAGATTTTTTTAGCCTTCTTTGGGAGTCAAGAGACTAACTAGATTCTCATTGGCTTGGGTCAGGGGTACATTATGTGTTTCTCATTGGCTTGGGTCAGGGGTACATTATGTGTTGGGGTTTGGTCAGCAGTGCAATTTTGTAAGCAATTACAGTGGGTACGGAAAGTATTCAGACCCCCTTAAAATTTTCACTCTTAACAATATTGCAGCCATTTGCTAAAATCATTCAAGTTAAGTTTTTTCCCTCATTAATGTACACACAGCACCCCATATTGACAGAAAAACACAGAATTGTTGACATTTTTGCAGATTTATTAAAAAAGAAAAACTGAAATATCACATGGTCCTAAGTATTCAGACCCTTTGCTGTGACACTCATATATTTAACGCAGGTGCTGTCCATTTCTTCTGATCATCCTTGAGATGGTTCCACACCTTCATTTGAGTCCAGCTGTGTGTGATTATACTGATTGGACTTGATTAGCAAAGCCACACACCTGTCTATATAAGACCTCACAGCTCACAGTGCATGTCAGAGCAAACGAGAATCATGAGGTCAAAGGAACTGCCCGAAGAGCTCAGAGACATAATGAATAATTTATGTGTTGTGTTGTTGTGTTCTTTTGTAAAATACAGATGTGGTAAATTTCACACCATGAAAAAACAAACATTACTGGTTGTGTATTCCAGGGGTATGTTCACGCTGTTTCATTAGGCTGTGCTGAAATGCCATTTTTGCTCAAATTTGAACTGAAATTTAACCTCAGAAAAAAAAGTATAATAGGCAATTTACATCGATGAATATGTCTATGAAAAGCCACCAGCTTGTCTTATACAATAGGAGGCGCTATTGGTATTATATATACCCCTCCTATTAACAATCTCTTCCAGCCAGAAAAATGTGATAAAAGTACCTTTCAGAATAAAAAAAATTATAATTGCATGATTGTAATGGTGTAGTGCAGTTGCTTCAATTGCCGATCCGATTTGTATAATAGATGAATCTTGAAAAACTTTCTGTACTGTACATTTTACACATTTACTGATGCAATTCCAGGACCAAGAGACATATTTTGAGATGCATGATGTTAAGAACAAGAAGATTATCCTGTTATTCTCATATATTCCTATTGCATGATCTGTACATTACAGGAGTAATCAATTGTTTCTATGCAAATCATTTATAAATAGAGGCATGTGAAGTATTGTCTGAACAACAGCAGAAACAGAAAATCAATCATACTCAATCTGTGAATGTATGAATGTGTGTAAGGTGAGCCAGTTGTTACAAGGCCATCTGCTTGGCGGCAGTGTGTGTGTGTGTGTGTGTGTGTGTGCAAGGGGGTGGTTTAGGGGACAGGGGGTGTGTTCAGCTCCTGCTGTTTGGTCCTGCCTCTTGCTGATTGATGATCTCCACTCCCCCAGGGTCGACCAGGTCACGACCTCCCACTACTGACCCCCCCACGGAGAGAGCTCATTCAGCACCCTGCCTTCACACACACACACACACACACACACACACTATTCACTCCATTTGGCTGTCTTTCCCCCCTTTTGCTTTCAGCAGACATATGAATAATACACACTTGCCAATATACTGTCCACAGTCATCCTGTCTTAAATATGACATGCGAACAGCAGGGTCCTGTAGTGTGACATGCTCTGCTTCATCTGAAACTTTTTTAAATAACATTTTTTCTAACTATTTTAGAATTATTATCCATGATATGGTTTTATGTTAACTATGTATAGAAATGTAATATTTGTACTTTTAAAAATTAATTTGTGAGACTCCAGGACACTTCTGTTACATGTCATGTCAACTGCCCATATATAAGACAGGGGGAATTACCACAAGGCTATTGAAGCAACACACACACACACACACACACACACACACACACACACACACACACTTTTTTGTGTTTATAGTAATAGTTGAAAAGTATATAATGTTATTTATAAAGAATTCCACTCATATTTTGTAGTTCAAAGGGTTTTATTTACAATGAAACCATTTTTTTAAATTTCCTCCATTGTATGTGTGTAGGGCAAACATTTGAATTTGAGTATGAAAAATTTAGGCGAAAATTCCAAAAAACGCCCAGAGCTTAAATAAAATAACATTTTTTCTAACTATTTTAGAATTATTATCCATGATATGGTTTTATGTTAACTATGTATAGAAATGTAATATTTGTACTTTTAAAAATTAATTTGTGAGACACACACACACACACACACACACACACAGGTTTGTTTTTGTGAAAAGTGGGGACTCTCCATAGGCGTAATGGTTTTTCTACTGTACAGACCGTATATTCTATTGCCCTACACCAACCCTACCCCTAAACCTACCCCTCACAGGAGACTTTCTGCTATTTCAGATTTTCAATACACTCCATTCTGTGTGATTTATAAGCGTTTAGAAAAGTGGGGACATGGGGTAATGTCCTGAAAAGTCACCGTCTCCTTGTAATACCTGTCATACCTTTGTCATTATACAAATGTATGTCCTCATTTGTCACAAAACGCACACACACACACACAGTAAGAAAGAAAAAATGGTTACACTGAATGACAACCAGTTAATTTATAATCCTAATAAAGCATATTTCTATAATTATGTATACATTTAAATTTAAAAACATTAAAAAGCATACATGCATTTTTTTCTTGCTTGCTTTTTCTTTCTTTCTTTCTCTTTCTTTCTTTTTTTTTACTATTTTAGTTCATATATGTATATAATTATTTATATACATTACAAAATAATTGCTTTGTTTTTTGAATTTTATTAATTCTTTTAATCTTTTTTTACAGACATTTAGACAATATTTTACAATATTGTTTTACAGACATTTTGTCTTTTAGTTTCTTTTATAATTCTATCAATAATTAAACAAAAATAACGATATTGTAAAGAAATAATAAATAATAAAATATGTTATTGTTTTTATTAAAACATTTTATAATACATTTGTCTTTTATATTTCCATCGATGCTTAAAAAACAATAAATATATTGTCAATAAATAATAAATAATAAAATATATGTTGTTTAGAGTTGACAGTATCATGTTTCCAGAAATAACATAAGCATCAATCACATCACATTTTGCAACGTTTTTACAGACACTGGCTTATGTCAGTTTGTGTCATTAAAACCAATAATGATTATGTAAATAATGATGATAATAATAATAATAATGAAAAGCTTTACAATATAATGAATTGTTTCTGTATTTTGTTAATTTATTTGGTTTTGCTTGTTTTATCTATTTAACAGGCATTTAAAAATATTGATTTACAGACATTTATTTGTCATTTATTGTTGTCCATTGATGATTAAAAAATAAAGATAGGCTACTGTAAATGAATAATAATAATAATAATATCTCTGTTGCTGCATAGTACAAAGTATTATGTTTCCAATAATAATATGAGCACACATCACACACTTTATGTTTAGACTTGTTAGCAAAACACATGCTAATATATTTTTAACCATTCTGTACTGCAAATAATATCACTATGAATTACGTTTTGTAAAAGCAGCCTGCACACAGGCTTTATCTCATCACTGCAACCAGATAAGCAGAAGCTAAGAGTCTGTTGTAGAAAACTCTCTCTCTTTAGCCTGTTCCCTTGATCAATGAGCAAGTGCCAGAGCCACAACTATTAATCAGGGCCTATCGGCTATCTGTCTACCACAACAACCAATCACAGCGCCCCGACAGCTACTCCATAACAAATGGAGCAGGGCGGCAGGCGGAGGGGTGGGGTGAAGCCATACTTTATCTGATCTTAGCCAGGTCACAGCACAATGACACTTACAGATGACTACAGATGCTGATTGAAAACACACATGCGGTCTGAAACAGAAGTACACACACTTGTGTAAACAGCGATGCCATGCTACAATGTACAAATATGTGGTGCAGACACGTCCCACGTCAAGAAGTGATCTGCTTGTGAAATTAAGTCCTATTACAGATTCGAATTACACCTTACTTTTAACATGAAACAAATGTTTCATGTTTGTAGGATGCTATCACAAAGAAAAATAGAAATTATAGAAGTTTCAAGGTAATTAAGCATATAAACAGCATTACGGGTTAGATAGCTGCATGTGGCCCATTTGATTGCTGCACTAAGAACCAAAAAGTCTTATCTGTGTTAGACAAGATAGACGTCAGAACAGACAGAAGCAATGCACAGAGTTTAGTGGACAATAGACACAACTATTAAAAAAGTTTGGGGTCAGTACATTTTTTCTGTCTTTGTATACTTTTATTCAGCAAGGATGTGTTAAATGGATAAAAAGTGATAGTATAGATTGTATTGTTAGAAAAGATTTCTATTTTGAAGAAATGCTGTTCCTTTTAACTTTTTATTCATCAAAGAATCAAAGAAAAAAGTATCACGGGTTCCAAAAAATATTAAGCAGCACAACAGTTTCAACACTGATAATAAATCAGAATATTAGAATGATTTCTGACGGAGTAATGGCTGATGAAAATTCAGCGCTGCGTCACAGAAATAAATTATATTTTAAAGTATATTAAAATAGGAAACCAATATTAGAAATTACAATCATATTTCACAATATTACTGCTTTTTTCTGTATTTTTGATCAAATAAATACAGCCTTGATGAGCAGAAGAGACTCCATTAAAAATGTTTTACTGATCCCGGCAGTGTACAGTCTATCTATCTATCTATCTATCTATCTATCTATCTATCTATCTATCTATCTATCTATCTATCTATCTATCTATCTATCTATCTATCTATCTA